GATGGAAGACCTGAGGACAAGACGACTTAATGGAGACCTTTTAGGATAAGAAGGAATCTTATGATGACTAGAATGTGAATAGGATAAGCACAAAGTGGATAAGATCAAACTCGAGCAGCTAAGCAGGCTGACCACGGGCAGTTCGGGCAATCCATTTTTGGGCAAATATTCCCCTATAAAAGGCCTTCTCTCTACACATTCTTTACTATTATCTACTTACAGATCTTATGATCTCCACTTTCTTTCAATACTGACTTGAACTTCAGAATGCTAATGCCGAGAGACTCTCCCGGCGCTTTTTGTTGATCATCTTTAAATCGGAGCTCATAACAAGCCAGTTCAACCTAGATTTGAGTCGCTGACACATCATTTGGCGTCGTTTGCGGGGACTTTTGTAGAAACTAAAAGCTTTTTCACCACTTTTCGATCACTCGATATGGCCCAAACCATGTTAGGCAGACTACAGGGATTTTAGACAGACCATTTTTGTGCAGGTATTCCCCTTTAAAAGAGGTTGAGGTATACCTGAAATAAGGTCAACATTATCTCTACACAATCTTTACAATTATCTACTTACAAAGCTTATTATCTCCACTTTGTACCATATACTGACTTGAGCGTTGGAATGTTAACACCTAGAGACCCTCCCCACAGGGGAAGAGCTATATATGGACTAGGCCCACACTGAAAATATATATATATATATATATATATATATATATATATGACTTAATACTCCTAAAAACTTATAAAATAGTTTAATACAAAGGAAAACAATTTATATTAAGAAATGATAGGAACACAAAGAAGAAGAAGAGAGAGATAATGGGAAAATAAATTCTTGTCCTTATTGATTTTGGTGATAGTAATTAGTAAGTCTAACCCTTCTTTTATTAGGATTCACCAAAAAAAACTAAAAACTTATTGGTACCTTTTAGCATTTTTGTAGTTAATTAATTATTGTTTCTTAATTATCAAAAAGACTAATATTGTATATTTAATAAGTGTGTGATTGATAACTTAAGCTGTAAGACTCTTTAAAAACTGGTATATTAGATAAAGCATATTATACATTATAATTAATTTATATTTCAAATTATGAAGAAATATTTCTAGAAAATGCCTCATAAAAAAGTGCATGTGAAAATATATCAAAAAAGCTACTTTAAGTTCAAATATACTTGTGTTGAATTCTAATATTGTTGATCAAAAAATACAATCAGAAGTTCAACGATGTTATATAAAGAGATATCTAAATATAAAAACTCATAAGAATAACTATAAAGGTGTGTTTTTGTAATTATACATTTGTGACGATGTGTGTGTGTGTATATATTATATATATATATATATATATATATTAAAAATAATTAGGTCCCCTCTCATTTTATGACCTAGATCCGCCCCTGCCTCCCCACCCTTTTTGCAGATCATATTAAGTGATTTAAGTAGATCGGAGCTCATAACAAGCCTGTTCAACTTAGATCCGAGTCGTCGCACCATCACTACCAATATTCTTGTACAATATACATGAGTCGGATCATCTATGGTTATGTTTGGTAAAACTAGCTGATAAGCTAGCTGATAGCTGATAAGCTAGCTTATAACTTATTTGTAATTTTTGAACTTATAGCTTATAGCTTATGAAAAGCTAGCTTATATGATAAAATTGTTTGGTAAAATTAGCTGATAAGCTAGCTGAAATAAAAAATTCAACTAGCTTATTTGAAAAGCTACCTAAAGTAGCTGATGAGATAAGTTCGAGCTTTTTACAAAAGCTCGTCCTACCAAACAAGACTATGTTTGGTAAAACTAGCTGGTAGCTGATAAGCTAGTTTATAATTTATTTGTAATTTTTTAGCTTATAGCTTATAGCTTATGACTTATAGTTGAAAAACTAGCTTATATGATAAAAGTGTTTGGTAAAATTAGCTGATAAGCTAGCTGAAATAAAAAATTCAACTAGCTTATTTGAAAAACTACCTAAAGTAGCTTATGAGATAAGCTCGAGCTTTTTAAAAAAACTCGTCCTACCAAACGAGACTTATTTGAATATAGGGAGCTTATAAGCTAACCAAATAAGCTATAAGCTAGCTTATTTGGCTTACCAAACACAGCCCAATGCTTATTTGAATACATGAAGTTTATAATCTAACCAAATAAGCTATAAGCTAGCTTATTTGGCTTACCAAATATAGTCTATATCAACTTATAAGTTATAATTTTTTTATTTTTTATTTTTTTGTCTTATAAGTTATAACTCATTGAACTTACCTGTCAATACAAATTAGTGACGTGTAGGGAACCAAATTGGTACACAATCATATGCTTAATTAGTAATCATAAGCAAGCTAATTCTATCATTTTATTTGCAATAAATGTAGAGAGACAAATTGCCCTCGTGAAATCTTGAGAGCAAGCCAGTCGTATCTTTACGCACAGTTTGAACTAAATTTGAATTAGGATGTCTGGATAAGTGTTTATTGTGCTTTTGTGCTTATTTTCGTGTGTTTTATGTGCTTTAATTTAGTGGTTTTAGGTTCGTTTTAGTGTCGATCGGTCTATTTTATCGTGTTTCGTGCATTTTTGCTTTCGTTTTGTAGATTTTGTGGTTCGGCGTATTTTCTTGTCTTTTTTGTGTTGTTTAGGTCCACATTATTCGAGTTCGGGAAGAGGAGCCATTTCCGAGACATTTCCGAGCCGTCTGAACCATTTCCGAGCCGCGCGAACCATTTCCGAGCATATTTATTAATTGCGGGGTGACATCTATTTGCGCATCTCAAGACGAAGAGAAAAAGATTTGAGGCGCGTGGGTCAAAGTTTCGGGTCAATCGGATAAGCGTGCGAGAAGTTAGAGCTAATCGAGCCTCAAAAGTCAAGCAGAGGCCTAATTCCGCGCCCGCGAATCCATTTTCGCGAGCTGTCCAAAACTCGCGAGCTACTCCAGCCCGCGAGTTTTCCATTCCGCGCCCTCGAAACGACCCTTGCCCGCGAGTTCCTCCAAGGAAGCATGCCCAGCTCGCGAGTTTCTTCCTTCCGCGCCCGCGAAATGCCACTTTGCCCGCGAGTTCACCCAAGAGCGCACCAGCCCGCGAGTTTCTCCCCTCCGTGCACGAGAATCTGCCTGCGAGCTCGCGAGTCCACTTCCCAGCGTGCCCCGCGCGCGCGAGTTTCATGGCGAGGTCGCGAGTGTCCTGCCCAACATGCGTCCGCGCCCGCGCCCTTCACCGCGAGGTCGAGAGTATCAATTTGCCTCGCGCCGCACCGTGCCTTCCTCGTGCCACACTCGCGCCATCCGTGCCCGCGACTCGCGAAACCACCCGCGACCTCGAGAGTATCTTAGTAAATGTGCGTGTTTTTAGTGTGTGTTTGAGGTGTAGCTATAAAAAGACATTGTGCTTTGTATTTTTGAGAACAACCCTCATTTCCCAACTTTTAAGTTGGGAAATCCTCTCCATTTTCTCTCTTCTCTCTCCTCTTTTCTTTTTCTTTCTTTTTTATGCTTTGGTTGGGAGGTTCATGACTATTTTTCCAGCAAAATTCCGGCAAGTTTATTTTCATTCAAGTTTCGAGCTTTATTCACTATTTTCGTCCGAGCATGCTATGGGAGAGTAGGTACCTTGCTTAGGCCTTACTTCTTCGACTTTGTCTTTCGAATTGTGTGTTTATGCTCGTTTCTTGATTTTTCTTTATTTTTATTACTTGCTTACGTGTGTTAGGAATCTATATGTTCTTATCTTGTGTAGAGATCTCGACTTTGCTAAAAGCGTGATGATCTAGTGTTGAAGGCTCGTATTAGATGACCTAGGATCACTATGCTCGTATGTTTTCTCTTGTTTATTTTTCTTTTTCTTTAGTCATGGAGATTCCGGTAGACCAAAGTTTTGATTTTTCTCTCTATATTTGCATCTTTCATCATTTGCTCTAGATTCTTAGTTTAATTTCATGCAAATCCAATCCCTTCAAGCGAGTAGAATGTTTAGGACCCTATTTTCGGTTATGTGACTTTGACGACTAGGTAGTGAACGAAGCTCCGAACAGCCTTCCTTTGAGAACGACCCGAGTCGGGTAGCTCGGTTACCACATGCCCAAAAATACTACAAACAATAAGGATCAAGTAAAATTCCAAAATGTGGAACATTAGAGCATCTCCAATGCTATAAGTGTGAAAGACCATTATTTTTAACACATGTCAATTAGTAATTGTAATGTTAATCCACATTGGAATAATGTTAAAAGACTAGAAATTTCAATGAAACTAGTATCTCCAATGCATCAATTTGATAAGAAGTTATTTGTATAGGTGGACCAATTAAATAATTCATTGATACAAAAAAAATAAAAAATAAAAATAAATATAAAGTAAATTGATGAGTCATCATGTTTAACATGGTGTTAGATATTAGAAAGTGTGTTCAACATTGTCAACATTAAATGACATCCACCTCATCATGAAAGAGTTCATGACAAGATGCATTGGAGAAAAAAATAGAGACACACTTTCAAAAGTTGGTGATATGGATGACTTTTTATAATGTCAAAAGTTGCATTGGAGATGCTCTTAAATTTCATTTTTTAGTTTATTAGCTTTTTTAGCACTTGCACCACTTTTCTTAATTGAAGGATTTACCTAATTATGAAAGTCCGGGCAGCGGGCAGGCTGCCCAATACCAAATACTATATAAAGAAATGCATGCACACAAGGAAAATCAAATGATATAAATCGAGTAAATAATATTACCTTTTTCCTCCCTAGTTTTTTTCTCATCGGATTCGCATACATTCCATCTTTCTCCATTTTTCTCAACTTAGTAATGTAAAAAGAGTGAAGGTTCCCATACTTTTCTTTCTCCTTTATTGCAGTCTTCTTGTTCGTGAAAATGCTTCTATGGAAATAGTAATCCCTTTCTATGTTATGAGATTTAGGAACTCTTTCTAGCCCTTTCTTGTTTTAAGTAAGTTATACTTATCCTAAAATATAAGCATTTCTAGTCTCTCCAATGGCTCCATCATCTTGTAGAAGAAAAGGGTCCAGAAAATCTTCATCGTCAAGAAGGAAAATCCTCAACAAGAACTCGTCCAAGAATCGAAAGAACTCGATAATTATCTTAACCGGCAACGAATCATCGAAAACCGAAGGGTCGGAAGGCGTTGCAGATAATAATAATAATAATAACGCCAGCATTTGTTCCACCCCAAAAGCGGAAAGATTCCGGTTAACCGAGATGGGCACTTGCCCGCCGGCACCTAAGAAGACGATAAGAGTACGGCTCAAAAATTGTTCCTTAAAGAGAACGGTCCACATGCCGTTTTTCGTGTCTCCAGATATCGACCTCTTCTTTTATTTCGCGCTCCGTGGGTTTTGAGTTTGATAGCGACTCGTGAGCAATTGTATGATCTTGGTTTGGCAAAGATATATATATATATATATATATATATATATATATGTGTGTGTCTTCTTGTTATTATGAGTTTAAGTGTTTGGTTTTCCTTTGCCAATTTGCTTGTTTGGAGTGTTTTGAGTTTGAGAGTACTGTTGATAGGAAGTTGTGATCTGGATTAGGCATTAGGCCCTATTTCGATATATGTATTAATTTTCGTGTTCTTAATTTTTTTTCTTTTTTCGAGTTGATTTGGGCGTATTAGTGATGCGTGATATCTTATATTTGCTCATCTGATCAATGTATTGTTTTGTTGAATTTGGAGGGCAACGATTTTATGTTTGGATTAAATAAACCAATTGATCTTTTTTTTTTTAATTGAAAAAAAGAAAAAGTTGTTTTGGCACATGATTTAACCGTTGGCTTCATTAATAATTAAATGACTTGCTTAAGTCAATCAGAGGAACAGAGAACGATAGTTATATTTATTATTCTTGGCCGCTCTGAAAGTACCCTGTTTTTCCAAAATATTTCAGTCAAGGTTAAATAATTGATCATATTAGAAAAGCTAAATAATTGCGATATTGATTCAATAATTTGGGTCAAAAATTGCGAGAGAAAAACAGATAGTTAACAGACCAAAATTGTTGTCTTTGGGCGGGAGCAGCAATTGTGGTCCAATAACTGATTATTTTTTTCACAGTTTTGATTCAGATTAGGATACAATTGCCTAAAGAAAAAGTATTTAACCTTAATTGCATATAGTTGGTGAATCAATTTTGTCAAAGCCCAAGAGTTAATGTAACAATATTGCAATTTTTTATTTTAGTCTAGCATTAAATGTTTTTTAAGTTTTTAGCATCAACGAAAAAGAGTCGAGATGAAATAATTCCATTTTTAGCATCAAAGAAAATAAAATCAACGTTTTGTGACACATTAAAAATTTCACACAATTTAACTCATTTGTTGCTAAAACTAATATTTTATTCTCCGGTCATGATTATTTTCTTTACCTTAATTTATATCTCAAAGGGACATGAGGAATTTGAAGTGGGCACTGCAAGAAGTAACACTGATATGGTTGAGGAAAGAAAATTCCGTGTTACATCATACATTGTAACCTAAAGGCTACTGAGAGATAGTTGGGATTTTTTTTTTTCTTTAAAGTTTAAACATTGAAGGTAATTATTGTGTCAGATTTTTAATTATAAATTTTTATTTTTGTTGGTTTCCTTTATTGTGTGTCAGCTTGTGGGGTATGGATATGTCCGATGCTCGGAGCTTGGCGAACATGAATAAGGGAATCCAATGTAAAGGCTTGTGCGGGTTGTCATAAATGATCATTATTTTCTTTTTTTGTTACGCGGTATTATTGTGCGGAATACACTGTTACGGTATTGTGTATTACCGAACACATTAATGTGCATTTGGTCTAATATTATTGTGCAATGTGATAGTCACTACTGTGCATCACTTTTAATACTATTGTGCTTCCTACAGTGATGGTTTTCTTATGTGCAAATGCAAAATAAAAAAAATCGAAACGATTGAGTTATTTGGTTGGTTAATCAAATTAACTTAAATAATTGTACTAAATTATTATGTGTATTATAAAAATATATTTAGTATTTTAATATTTTATACTATATTATGTTTAGTTGAAAATTGTATATATAATACATATATGTATAAAAAATATATAAAAAAACTAATATATGAACTGATATATATAATAAAATAATATTTTTTTATATAGTTCGGTCAGTTCGGATATTTCTTTCATAAAAACATAAAAGCAACCGACATAATCAATTTTCAAACTAAAAACCCGGAATATGAATCGGCATATGAAAAATCAAACAACAAAATTATGGCGGTCAGTTTTTTAGTCTTGGTCGAAATTTGCACTCTTATGCATTACACAGTGCACAATGGCGACAAATTAAATGCATATTAATATACGTGAAATTTTACAATACCGTAACATTGTATTTTTTATTCAAGCGGGGTCATTGAGCATAATGCATTGTTACACTATTGTGCATTTTACTTATCATTAATGTGCATTTATTAAATTTATTGTTAATTACACATTTGCCTAATGAACTAAATTGCAATTTATTAAATTTATTGTTAATTACACATTTATCAAAAATTGTTCCTTAAAGAGAACGGTCCACATGCCGTTTTTCGTGTCTCCAGATATCGACCTCTTCTTTTATTTCGTGCTCCGTGGGTTTCGAGTTTGATAACGACTCAATGAGCAATTGTATGATCTTGGTTTGGCAAATATATATATATATATATATATATATAGATTATCAATAATTAAATAATATCAACCAATCATTTTACACATAACATCAATTTTAATTCATTATTCATTCACTTATATAATTTTAACTAACCATCAATTCACATTATATATATATATATATATATATATACTAGTACAACACCCATGTATTACATGGGTGAGGACAGTGCCTCATTCCGGACCGTTCATGGACGGATTCATAAAAGAGGGATGGGTATCCGGACAAGTCAAATCCAGGACCGTCCCGGACTGCACGCACCCCTATAATAAATAATCAACATATTTATAGATAATTCGAACCTAATAACGAAACATGTAATTTTGCCACATAGGATCCTGAAGCATGCGAACCTGCCACATAGGCTCAACGCGTTCTGAATTAATATATAAGGGGGACTAGTACAACACCCATGTATTACATGGGTGGGGATGGTGCCTCCAGACCGTTCATGGACGGATTCATAAAAGTGGGATGGGTATCCGGACAAGTCAAATCCAGGACCGTCCCGGCCGGCGCCCACCCCTACTGTTTGTCCCATTTTTGTGTCTTTAATTCATGCTTATTTTCTTTTCGTTTTCCCCCATTTGTAGGATTTTTGTAGTTTATTTGGTCCATTTCGTTCGTTTTGTGTTTTTGTCTTTAGTTTATATTTTTGTATCTTTTTGCTGTGTTTTGCTTCGTGTTTTTCTGTGTTGTGTTTTCAGGAGGTAGGTTGTGCCGGTCGAGGTTAGAATTGCGTGAGCCGAGACTGTGATATCAAGAACATCCGTTACCGAGCCCAGAAAACTCGAGGAAGGACTGAAAAAGCCGACAGAAACTGTGCCCAGAAAAAGTCGCGACTCGCGAGACGTCTCGCGACTCGCGAGTCAAGTCGCGACTCAAGCGAATGTCGCGACCCGCGGAAAAAACAGAGGCTTATGGTGCAGTGTCGAGCAGAACTCGCGACTCGCGAGATGATGTCGCGACTCGCGACACAGAGTCGCGACTCGCGAGATATTTCGCGACTTAACCCCAGAAATTTATATTTTGACGGCGCGCGACTCGCCAGGAAGTCGCGACTCGCGAGCGAAGAAAAAGTCCATCTCGCGACTCGCGAGTAAGTCGCGACTCGCGACTTTGCCGGGCGCGAATTTCGAGGACGGAATTTTTAGAGCAGAATTCGACCCTAGGGTTCATTATTCAGTTTTCAGACTTCGTTTTTACACTTTTTCTCTGGAGAAACTCATTCCTTTTCTTTCTTTCGCACTTTTGAATTGTTTTGGGAGATTGACAACTCCTATTTCTTGCTTTGGATTTGGATGCACTTGGATTTGACATTGGATTCTCTATATTAATCGTAAGTTATTTTTCTCAATCTCTTGTTGATGATGATGGCTTGGGTTTGTGAGAATGTTAATGTTGAAATCCAATATGAGTAGCTAAATCCATCTGCTAGGGATAGGGGATAATTGATTAGGTTCAATTATAATTGCTTGTTCTTAATTGTTCATATCTATGCGAGTTGAGTTCAATTTAGGGTTAATAGATTGATCACCTATATAACCTAGTTAATCATTGTTTAGAACCGAAAGGGGAGACATTGATCGATTTAGGCTCGTTTAGAATAGACTTGTTCGTCAAAGTATTGTCTATGAGTTGCTGGATTTGATAGTCAATCGTATATGTTCACTCTCTTGTTACGAAGAGTTATTGAGAGTGAACCTCTAAACGATAGACGATTCACTTCCTTTAACCGAGCAATTGATTGCCGGTAGTTGTGTAAGAACCGAAAGCAGTTGTCCCCGATTCCCTAGCCCTTTAAATTCTCAGTTAATTCGTTACTGTTCATTTCGTGCTTTATTTAATTTAAAGTTGGTAGTTGATAATCGAAACCCAAATCATTGAGTTAGATTGTTTAGGATTTTTATCTTCTTTTGTGATTGAATAATCGAACAATTGTATCCGGCTAACCTTCCTTGCGATACGACCCGGGGAACGAATCTTTCGATTCTACTCCGGTTAAAATACTGACAACACCTACCATAAATAATCAATATATTATAGATAATCCGAACCTAAATATATTTGGATTAGAAGTAAACTAAATCTACCCAAGCCTAATAACGAAGCATGTATTTATGCCACATAGGATCCCAAAGCATGCGAGACTGCCACATAGGCTCAGCATGTTCTCAAGTAATATATAGGGGGATGTCTTCTAGTTATTATGAGTTTAAGTGTTTGTTTTTCCTTTGCCAATTTGCTTGTTTGGAGTGTTTGAGTTTATCGGGTACGGGTACGGGTACGGGTTTTGGCAAACCCGAACCCGACCCGCATATAATTTACCCTACCCAAACCTGACCCATTACCCGGCTAGTGATCTTCGAGTTCGGATTAGGTTTTACCCGATGGGTTAGTGGGTTTTCGTCGAGTAAATGGGTAACCCGAGTCTTTAATTTAGGCTTTACCCAACCAATCTCATTTCATATGAAAAAATAAAATAAATTTATTTCACAATTAATTATAATGTAACAAATAATTTATTAAATAAGTTTGACAATAAAAAACTATAAAAAATTATATTATTTTTTGAATAAATTAATAATGAGATATAATTATTTATCTTTTATAGTCTATTTAATAATATAACATTTAAAATTTTAAGTATGTAATTTTTTTATTGTACAATTAACAAAAAATGATGATAAAATTATAAAAAAATAAAATAAAATTTAACCATTAATTAAAATTATAATAGATAATCTAATTCTTAAAAATAACACATGACTACTTTTATATTTATAATAAGTTATAAATATATATATATATATATATGTGTGTGTGTGTGTGTGTGTGTATGTATATATATAAGATTAAATGGTTGCAGGTAAACGGGTCGGGTAATGGGTTTTCTTACTATACCCGCACCCGACTCGACCCGGGGTCCGGGTAGCATAAATCTACCCAAACCCGATCCGAAACCCAATTATCTCAAGTTTATCCGACCCGAAAATACGGGTAACCTGACCCTACGTGTTTTATTGATATCCCTATTTGAGTNAAAAAAAAAAAAAGAAAGAAAGAAAGAAGAAAGTTGTTTTGGCACATGATTTAACCATTGGCTTCATTAATAATCAAATGACTTGCTTAAGTCAATAAGAGGAACAGAGAACACATATTGCTCATGGCAAGTTTCTTTACTAGTTGTCCTTTTCTTTTTCCGCTTGCTGTCACTTGTCAGCTCTAATTCTTGACGAAAAGAAAATAAAATCAACGTTGTGACACACTAAAAATTCCACAATTTAATTTATTTGTTGCTAAAACTAATATTTTATTCTCCGGTCATGATTATTTTCTTTACCTTAATTTATATCTCAGGGACATGAAGAATATGGAGGGCACTGCAAGAAGTAACACTGCAGGAATTTATATCCTCTCCAGCAACCACCAGATGGTAACGATACCAACATGTCAAGTCACCTCTGGACTGTAACAACTCCTTCTTCGTCGTCAAATTCACTTTTCGGTGGAGGATACTACTAAACTCACCCATAGTTCGTATCAGTTCCGGGGCGAAGCCGTCAAGTCCCAACTCCCAAGCCTCCAATTGTAAAGTGTCGGTGAGGGCAAAGAGTGTCTTTTTGCTTGTGGAGTAGACGCAATCTTCATAATAGTTGTCTTTGGAAGCCATGGAATTCGCAAAGTGGATTAGGCTCACGGCCACACATTTTTCACTGTCGGGAGAGCAAGAGAGGATGCACTTCTTGAGAGCTAGATAACCATACAGGCCGTAGAAAGGTGGGAGCTTTATGTGGCGGCGGGCTATGGGGTTGTAGAGTAACAGGTCGCGGGTTCTGCGCTGCACACGGGATAGCCAGCCACCGCCGGAGGAACCCCTGAATTTCATGAGGTCGCCGGGATTTGTGGGACCCACAGGGTCACGACCCTGTTCTCTGCCAGGTTGTAGAATTTGTAAGTCAGCGTGGTGGCGGCGGCGGTGCAGGTGGCACCGGCTTCATATACGGGTTGCAGCATCAGCCAAGGAGAACAAGAAGAAGAAGAAGATGGATTGCTTTTTTTCCGGAGACATTAGCGCCACAGTGCTCATGCCTCTCCGACAAAACCAATTACAGTCGGGACTCCATTTTTCAGAAATCAAATAACTAGAAAATCAGGCAAAACCTCGGCCGCGGCGCAGCAGGGAAGAATAAGCCATTTATTGTTGAAAATTAAATGGGCCAATACACTCAAGATTAACACAACAAAATGATTTTATTATACAAAGATAATTTATTACAAAATGCTACTCTCACAATCTCACAAACACTCACCTCACTTTACTGAAACTCTCAAAATTGATTCTTATCACTCACAATTAATTAGACTCACTAGGAACTCTCCACTCAATTTTTTATCACTCACACACATCCTCACAATTCACGCACTCACACTCACAATTCACTCATTGGACACTCTCACAAAATCTACACACAATGACATATTTATAGAGGACTAAGTCGGTTTAGTAACCGACATAAGAATTCTCCACAATTCTACAATTACCACACTTCTAATGTTATTTAATTAATTTAATATTTAAGTTCCTAAAATATCTATGTAACTCATTTTTCTTGATCCACCTAGAAGCTTCCCAAAAAGAGGTGTTGATATTTTAGCACTCCCCCTCAACACCGACTTTTGTTCGTTCGTTGTTTCTCGGCCACCTTACGTCGAGAAATGCATCTTCACATAAGTATGAGCCTGTAAATATTTTCCTCGTGTGCTTTGGGCTTGGTACTCGTACTTTCGTTGATCTGTGGGCTTCTGGGTTAACATTTGACTGATCTTCTATTCTTATCCATTGCTCGTTGACTTGCCTGTGACTTGTTAGCTCGTCTTCAACCCTACCTTCCTTAGTCGATTCTTTCTCACCTCTATCGGAGATTGGCAGCATCAAGTTGTCAAATGTTACCATACGCTCTTCACTGTACTCGGTCGGATTAGGTAACTCCTTCATGTCTCCTTTTTCGTTACTTGAGCTTCTAGAGTCTTCTATCCACTCATCATCTGAGTCGACAAGCTCAACGACCGTTGTCGTTAAAGCCATCTCGACTTCTTCACCAACTTCTTCTTCTCTAATTACGGCTGGCAGTGCTTCAAGGTCCCATTCGTCTTCACTTTTGTGTGCCTCATCAGATATAGTTGGGACCATGTCTTCGACTATTGTTAGTCTCTTGGCTATTGGACGTTGCTATATTCCGTTCAGCAGCCTTTTTTCTATGCCAACAGTCCCGAGCATAGTGATTTGACTTGCCACATACGTAGCACGGGCCCTTTTTATTTCCCTTGGACGTTTGATATTTCTTATAATGGTTTTGTTGGACCTCTTTTGTTTCAGAGCTTCTTTCGTGGTCTCATATTCTTTTTATAACTAAATAGAGCTTCATTTTCTTTCTTTAATGACACCTCCGCCATTTGTCTGGTCAGCGCTTCTTGGTCGGCTAATATATTTTCAAAATTTACCAAAGAAGGCTGCTCAGACCAACCTTGTATAGCGGCTATAATCCCCCTAAATTCGGGTTTTAAGCCATGGATGATAATTCTTCTCATTTTAGCTTCTGAAACTTTATCAGTGGGGTCCAATTCAGATATTTCGCGACAAAGAGCTCGTACCTTATTAAATTAGTCGCGTACTGTCATCTCCCCTTGTTTGAGTGACAGGAGCTCGTTCTCGAGAAGTTGCAGCTTGAACTCATATTTTTTAGAAAATAATGCTCCCAGAGTGTCCCACGCTTGTTTTGGAGTGCTTGCGTCCCGTATGTGCTCCAGCAACTCTTTGTCGATAGTCGTCTTGAGTGCGTACATGGTCTTTTCCGCCTTTATCTTCCATTTACGTAAGGCCCCAGCTTCTTCAGGTGGTGTGACCTCTTCTCCGCCAACAATTTCCCACAGATCTTGGCCTTGGAGATACGACTCCATGCAAGTCCTCCATATGATGTAATTTTGATTATTGAGTTTCTCCATTCCGCCTACTGATTGTAGATCCGCCATCGTGACTTGGACTACCTCCTCGTAACCAAGCAAGCCTCACGCGCTTCACAATTTTTATTTTTTTTAATTGCGCACGATGTCTTTGAACTCAATAATCTCCCCCGCAACTGATGAGCCTTGAATATATTGGCACGAGCTTGAATTCTCCGGACGTGGCTCTGATACCATGTGTTGAAAATCAAATGGACCAATACACTCAAGATTAACACAACAAAATAATTTTATTATACAAAGATAATTTATTATAAATGCTACTCTCACAATCTCACAAGCACTCACCTCACTTTACTGAAACTCTCAAAATTGATTCTTATCACTCACAATTAATTAGACTCACTAGGAACTCTCCACTCAATTTTTTATCACTCACACACATCCTCACAATTCACGCACTCACACTCACAATTCACTCATTGGACACTCTCACAAAATTTACACACAATGACATATTTATAGAGGACTAAGTCGGTTTAGTAACCGATATAAGAATTCTCCACAATTCTAGAATTACCACACTTCTAATGTTATTTAATTAATTTAATATTTAAGTTCCTAAAATATCTATGTAACTCATTTTTCTTGATCCACCTAGAAGCTTCCCAAAAAGAGGTGTTGATATTTTAATATTTATTAGGTTTTCTAATTATGCCTTTCTATTTTGTAATTATGAAGAGCGAGGTAATTATACTTTGAAACCTAAAAGGCTACTGAGATTGTTGGGAATTTTTTTTTTTTTCTTTAAAGTTTAAACATTGAAGGTAACTAATTAATTATTGTGTCAGATTTTTAATTATAAATTTTTATTCCGTGTGCATTAACATTTTTTTCGAGGTGTATATATAGGATTCGGGTGCTATTCGTCCACTGAAATACAAAAAATTAGGACTGATATATTACAATTCTCTAAGCTTTTTGATCCTAAACAAAGGTAAAGTTTAGTTATCTGCTCTCTATTGTAGTTACTTATGCTTCCGTTCTATTATTTCTCTTTTCCTATGTATCTTTGATTTTCTCTTAAATTTATTCCAAATATATATGTGAGATGACTTGTGCTTCAGCAAATAGATAAGTTATACTCATATTGAATATTTCCCACGGAGTAAAAGATTTTTTCTTTATGTAACTGATCTTTGAGAGCATCTTTAATGATAGCTTTTTTCTTTTGTTTCAAAATTGAAAAAATCATCATTGCAAAAATCAAACTGGGTTCCGATAAACATCCTATAGATGACATATAAATAGAAATAAATCAACCAGAACACNAAAAAGAGCTTGGAAAGTAAAATACTATTATCAAGCACAAGAAAAAACTAATAAGCAGATTCCTGCATCCAAGATGCTTGCATGTCTGATGCTTCCATTACTAATACCAGAATCAATTGTAACTTCTTCAGTATCAATGTGCATACACAGTGTCATTTCATCTGGGAGGTCTATTAGGAATGGAGCCCGGTTTAAACTTTGAGGCCTCGTGCCTCGCAAGCTCTGGAGGGACAGGACTATTGCTCTGAATCAGCATTTGCTTGAGATCATAAAAGACTCGAGTGTCATGCAGAGTCAAGAATGTTGTAGCTACACCAGTCTTCCCAGCACGACCAGTTCTTCCAATACGATGAGTATACGCTTCAATGCTGTTCGGCATGTCATGGTTTATGACGTGCGCCACATCAGCTATATCGATACCACGTCCAGCTACATCTGTTGCAACCAGTACATTGTATCTCTTTGTCCTAAAACCTTCAAGGCTTATTCCTCTTTGTTCCTGCGACTTCCCTCCGTGCAATGTGGTTAACCTGTAGTAACCCTCTTTATCCAAAGCTTTCGCGACATTATTGGCAGCTTTCTTCGTGTTAACAAACACGATAGCTGTCTCGTCGCCACCGAGCTTGTCCAACAGTTTCTTCAACATATCCATTTTCTCATTCTCGCGTGTCATAATCACGTTTTGACTGACGAGATCAGTCGCCTTCCCTGCAGTACCGATATTGACCACAACTTGATTCCTCAAGTACTTCCTCGCGAGCCGCTTAACGCCAGGTGGCATTGTAGCACTGAACATGTAAGTTGTTCTGTGTTCATCCTCTCTCAAAGGAATCGCATCCAATACACCCACCACTTGAGGTTCGAAACCCATGTCAATCATTCGATCAGCCTCGTCAAGAACAACATATTTACACTGGTTCAGAACAACATATCTTCTCTCCAGGCAATCGAGAAGGCGCCCAGGAGTAGCAATCACAACCTCACATCCCTGCCTAAGCTTAAACCCTTGTTTTGCTATGGACTGCCCGCCAACAATAGAAACCACTTTAATCCCCATGTAGTGAGCGAATTTGGTGGTCTCGTCCTCAATCTGCAGAGCAAGCTCTCTGGTGGGTGCCATGACAACTGCGTAGGGCCCATTCTCCTCGCTTATAGGGGGAAGTCTAGTTATGTAAGTCAGCATAGGAAGAACAAAGGCGGCCGTTTTACCTGATCCTGTCTCGGAAACGCCAATCACGTTTCGCTGCTCAAGGCCAAGAGGAATGGCGGCCATCTGAATCGGGGAAGGAGACTTGTATCCTGCCCTGTTAACCGCCCTCAGCAACTCAGCGCTCAACTTGCTCTCAGCCCAGTTCCTCATGGGGCGAGGGATCTTAGAGCCCTCGTAAGAGATGTTGAAATCTTCCCTGAAAATCCTCCAATCCCTATCGGTCATCTCCTCCAGCTTCTTGTCCGACCAGTGTCGATCGACCTTAATGTCAAATAGGAGACTCGCCTTGTGGGGGTTTTGGTACAAGGATTTCATGTTGCGGGAGGTGTCCTCGGTGTTTTCCCAGTCAAACGAGAATCGGAACTTCTCGCTCGGCTTAATCACCCTCTTTTTGGGCTTCTCAGACCCCATATACTGTTCCTTTATGGCGGTAAGATCAATCTCGCGTTGTTTCTCATCTAATTTCTCCAGGCGAGCACGCTTCCGGGCCTTGTGTTCGTCCTCGCGTTCTCGGTCATGGTTCCGGCGCTCAGAATCGCGGTCGCGGGCCCTGCGACTGTTGTTAGCAGCGGGTGTTTGTTGTTGGAGAAGCATCTCGGCGCGCCGTTTCTGCTGAGCAGTGGCTTCTTCCTGGCGGCGTTGGAGGGCGAGTTTTTGGCGCTCCTCTTTGGTGAGGATGACCGGCTTCTTGGCCCCGCCGTCCACCACCTCATCCACGGCACTCTTCATTCTCACACCAAAATCAAATTCAATTCGGAAGAAAAAATCGCAGAGATTGGGAGGTTGTGTTAAATTAGGGATCTTACGATCGTAATAATAGCTTTTTGGAGAGGTTTTATAAACCTCATATTCAAGGTTTGAGATTTTTTTGGAGAGGTTTTTTATAAACCTCTTCTTCTTTTAAATAAAAAATAAAAAATGACGTCCATTTTTTCTGTTTTCATTTTGTTTGTCGTGAACTTTCCAATTCCTTCTAGTTTCATTTTCAACATTTTAACAATAATAAATAAAAAATAATTACTGAAATAATATTAACTTTTAAACTAAATAATCTATCCCATTTATAAAATATATTTATAAAGAATAATTTTAAATATTATTATGATATGTAATAAATATGTCATTGTAGAAAGTAATCAGTAAAATTTTTAGTAAATATGAATTCAATTGATGTATAAAATAATATAAATGAGTCATAGACATGGGCAAGAGTCGAACCGGCCCAGTGACCCGGCCCTGATTTACTGTATTTTGAATCGTACCCTTGGCCCAGTCGGGCCGGTTCTGGGTTATGTATTTCACATTTTTTACCCGCCGGACCGGGCAGGACCGGGCAGGAAGAAGGGGCCAGTTTGTTTTCTTCTTAATAATTTTTTGGCCCGAACCGAGCCGACCGTTGGGAGCCACGCCAGACACAACGGTCATAAATTTTTTAAATTTGGGGTCAGACCAGGTCCCAACGGCCATTTTATCACGGCCGTTGGATCAATTGTACCGTTGAGATACAACGGCTCACGACCCACCCAACCCGTCGTTTAATATTCGTTGTATATGTCATATCTTAAATCTTTGTGTGCAAGCTGATTATCATGCTTTTAAAGACTCGGTCACGCCCATTAAGGACGTCGTTACATATTTACATAAACGTCCCCATGAAATGAAAAAATAGTTTAAATTGTGTAAAAATATAGTGTTGAAACCTAAAAAACTTCCAACGGAACGTCCCTAACCTGTAAAACTCAACATATAAAATGTTGAATGACACGGCTGAGTGGATGGCGCAATTGGAGGATTTTTTTAAAGATGCAAAAGGTAAGGACTGTAACGTCCGAGTTACTTCTGATGATTAGTTGAACTGTGATGCACTTACTCAATTTTTACAAACATTTCAAAATGCTACAAACATGCTTTCTGGTATTTACTATCCTATTGTTCAACTTGTGATAAGTCAAGTTGTAGCCATTGTGTAGAGTTTTAAAGATCTTTATTGTTTGGACTTTATTAAATATGAAGGTTTAGTTAGTGAGATGTTAAGGAAATGATTAAAATATTATTATTATATTCTCGAAACTTTTTTATTTGCATGTTTGTTATATACGTGTGTACGTGAAGCTGGCTTGATAAGACAGCTTCAAATGTACTATGATTTTATGTATCAACTCCCAAATCTGACTAATGTCTCGACATACAGTCAAATACCTAACGTACAGCCAGTGTTCTAAAAGTCGCTAGGCGCCCGCTAGGCGCTCGACCAGTGCCTAGCGCCTAGAGCGCCTAGTCGGGGCCTAGGCGGCGCCTAGTCGGGGCCTAAGCGGCGCCTAGTCGGGGCCCAAAAATCAATAGTAAATACCTTATTTTTTATTTATTTTAACTACCTACAAAATAAGACTATCTCAACATATAATAAATTCACACATCAAAGTTCAAATAATAATATTAATATATATTAAAGAAAACATGAGAACAAAATAATGTAATTAGTATTTAAAAAAATTAAAAAAAAAATTAAAAAATTGCCGCCGAGCCCGCCTAGGAGCGCCTAAGTCCGCCTACGCCCGCCTAGACGCCGCCTAACCGCCTGGCCGCCGAGCCCCCCAAGGCCGCCTAGGAGCACCTAGGGCCGCCTAGGCCCGCCTAGGCGCCTGGCCGATTTTTTCTGCCGATTTGTACAAATTGGAGGCGCCCGGGCACCGCCTAGCGCCTAGGCGCCGCCTAGGCCGATTTTTAGAACAGTGCGTACAGCTGCTCGTCGAGAAAGCAAAAGTTTTTTGTATGATTTGTTGAGGGAAACAACAATCAGACTCTGGGAATCTCCAAACTCATTTGCTCATGGTGTCGTCGCCGGCGGCAGCGGGTCTTCTTCTTACGGAGGGCCATGGGGGACGCAGCAGGAAGATTCAAACTACAAAGGGTGGTTGGATTCATTAAATCCCTACAAGAATGGTGGCATCCAAAGGGCAAAGGGGACTGGATACTATGAGCTGGATCATTACCTTACATCAATTTGATACTTACGATTGCGCGTGAACCAACCCCGCCACTGGATTTCGATGTCTTAGATTGGTAGTCAAGAATGCAAGTCGTTTATCCTATTCCATGCTTAATGGCCAAAGAGATTTTCTCCGTCCTAGTATCTATAGTTGCGGTCGAACAAGCATTCAGTGGGGGAGGTTACATGCTAGACGTACGGCGGTCGAGTTTGACGCTCAAAAATCTACAAGCGCAAATGTTGTTGATGGATTGGAAGAAGGCCGAACAGATGATGCAAACAACTATGCTTACTAATCAAGAGGATGCAGCATTGGACGACGATGACGACGACACTTCCGAGGTCAGTTCAAGGTCAAAAAAATATGATTTATATGAAATTTCTCTGGAAAAGATTTCTTTTATGTGGTATATACGATTTATATTGTCCATTTTAATTTTTTTTTACTTTGGTGATAATTTTATGACTATTAATATAGTACTAAAAATATATTAAAAAATTATATTATTTATAAAAAAAATATTTTATTCATTATATTCATATAATAAATGCCAATAATATATGGTAAAATCCAATTTTATCTGTTATTTCTTTATGAAAATATAAAAATTCAGTTAAAAGTAGTTAATGCAATAACTGTATTATATGTGATATATATTATTAAATAAATTTTAATGACTATTAATATAATACTCAAAATATATATGAAAAAAATATTTTACTTATAAAAAATATATTATTCATTATATTCACCTAATAAATGTCATTAATATATGGTAAAATCCAATTTTATATTGTTTTTTCATTATGAAAATATAAAAATTCAGTTAAAAGTAGTTAATGCAATAACTGTATTATATATGTGATACATATTATTAAATAATTTTTGTATATTATATATGGATACAATTTATATTATTCTTTATGTAACGTGTATGATAGGATTACTAATTACTATCTAATTTTAGAGCAATGGTACATGTAAAATTGTAGTTCACAACATGTTGACAACATTAGTTAAAGTATCATTAAGTCAAACTTTAACCATACATTTATTTGCATCTCAACCACCGACATTATGCTACATCATGTTGTCATTGAATATTGTACAAAAAGATTGTAAAAGTAGCTTTTTCCCTAATTTTATACCACAACAGTAAAGCATTTCTTGAGCAATAAGAAGAATATGCGGACAATCATATAGACAACAACGGAAAAATTTCAAAACTAGTCTCACAGGTATAGAGGGGTTGACAATTTTGGTCTCGATGGAATGCATAAAATATAAATAGTCCCACAGCTTTTAAAAAATGATCAAAAGTAGGACTTTTTCGTCGGATTTACTATTTCTGAACCGGAACGCCACGTGGCTTATTTTTTTACACGCTGGCATCCGACGTGTTCATATTTTTTTACAAGTTATGGGACTAGTTTTGAATTTTCTACATTCCATCGGGACCAAAAATGTCACCCACTATACTTGTGGGACTAGTTTTGAATTTTTCCCTATCTACGTCGGATGCCAGCATGTAAAAAAATAGACCACGTGTGCACCACGTGGCGTTCTGGACCGATAATAGTAAATCCGGCGAAAAAGTCCTACTTTTGATCATTTTTTAAAAGTTGTGGGACTATTCATATTTTTTGCATTCCGTCAGGACTAAAATTGTCACCCCCTATACCTGTGGGACTAATTTTGAATTTATCCCGACAACAACCAATTTTTTTTTAAGTTATATTAGGATACTTTTTTTTTTGTACAAAGAGAGGAAGCAAAAGCCTAAGGCCATCAGAGAGTTACATTCCGTGGGTAACCAACGCCAATTAAGTCATGTTGTAGCCACGGTTTCACAATTGATGGTGGGTCTGATAATCTCTGGCATCCAGCAGGACAACAATGAGCCAGAGAAGCCAAACAATCGGCCGCAAAGTTAGCTTCTCTACAACAATGAGTCACTGAAGTCACCCAATCTCGACTGAGCAATTCTCGAATGGCTCGAACCACGCTACCATGGACACCAAAGTTGTCTGTTAAATTGTCTTTCACCATGGATACCACACTGGGGTTGTCGATCAAAAACAATATTACGGTAACCCAATTCCCAGGCCACCAGTAGACCTTGGTAGAGGCCCCATAATTCTGCTCCCGTGATAGAGCATAACCCGATGTCAAAAAAAAAAAAAACCCCAACCATCTACCATTGGCGTCACGAACTAAGCCCCCGGCGGATGCCATCCCAGACGAAGTCAAGAGTGAACCATCCGTGTTAATTTTGACAACACCATCTCCAGAGGGTTCCCTGCGAATGAAAGTGACTTCCCTGCCCACTCCAAGGCCACCCAGGTGTGTCTCGGTCGAGATGGCAACTTTGATTCCGTGAACGAAAGAACAAACCTCACGGACTTTGGTAGCAACAGTGAACGCCTTAGCCGAGAAAATCTTTTCATTTCGTCCCCTCCATATTTTCCATACCGTGATCCCAAAGACAGTCTCCCGATTACCAACCCCAATGCTTAAGCCAGTATGCAGATTCTGAATCAGCCAGTCCCGGAACGACAAATTAAAGAACTCAGTGTGATGGGTTGGAGGGACCAATCTCTGCCAAACCTGCTTAGTACCCACGCAATCACGAAGAAAATGCATGGTAGACTCGTCAGTTCGTCCACAGATTGTACAAGCCAAAGAATCGGTGAGGTGGCGTCGCCGCCGCTCGACATTACTCAATAACTTCTCCTGGAAAGCCAACCACATAAACTGACGGACCCGTTGGGGGATAATTGTCTTTCTTTTCTAATAGCAATAACTAAATAAACCACATTCTAAAAAGCTCTGGGCTTCCTATATTGCTTCATCTTAAAGAAAAATAAAGGACAACCATCATTGTTTGGTTTTGCATTTTCCTTTTAGTTTCTGTGCATTGAATTCAGTGAGATGGCTTCAGTT